TTATATATGCACATAAATATAGACACACACTATTTATTTTATATATATATATATATATATATCGATTGGATATAATATATGTATGCGTATATATCCTATTTGTTGTTATAAAATTATATGTAAATGTATATATGAGTGTATTGTACTCAGTTCTCATGCAAATATAGTGTAAAGTACAATTCTACCGGAGGAATATCTGATTTTACCTGGGGTCCTGGTTAGAGATCTCGTAGTCTTCGCTTCTGAAACGCTATTTCTTTCGTCGTTGGATTCGCGTCGACAGCACGAGTACTTTTCATAGTCATACCATCTGTTTTACAATGTTTGCAGGAGTTTGGACCAACTCCTTGGATTGACTTTGGACTAGTGAATGTGGGCGGGCGCTATTCTCGTGACCTGGCGGTGCACAATTCATCTTCTGTTCCAGCCACACTGACAATAGAGAACATCTCGCATAACCGGGGCCTTGGTATTGACGGTGTTGAGGTACAGTATATATGAGCGTGCTTGTACTTGGTGGCAACTACTCAGAAAAATCTTTGTCTGTTTTATTATCCACCATCAGCTGCGTTCCGGACATGTATCACTTCACTCTATTCGTATCGAACTCTGTCGCTACATCCCAACAAAAAAAATACTGCACCGGCTAATAGCCCGAGCTTTATCATCGCCTACAGAGATCGGCCTTGGAACACTTTCACCTGGAAGTGAGTGAGGGTGGATCCACGACCATCACACTGTCCTGGCAACCGGCCCAACTGGGAACCCTTCGAGAGAGCATTGAATGGAAGTGCAATGGCACGTATCGCTTATATACCGTGCTTAGCGCTGAGTGTAGTGGAGAGGTGGATCGTTTCAGTCGAGCGGGACGTAGGCGAGACGGGTCTGGGATGGGAGGGGTTAAGAGAATACTGAGCCAGGCGGATATGGTGGGCGTCGATGAGACTAGGCGAGCAAAGGGTACGGCGACAAGCATATATATATATATATATATATATACGAAATCGCACATATCTATATCTACATCCATATATGTCATGTACTTGTGAACTTTGTGAACTTTAGTCCAGGATCCCTGTACCACTGCTTATTCGTAAGATGAGAGGTTCGCGGCTGTTTGAGTTTCAGCGTGTTCTACCCAGAAATTAGTGGTTTGGGGTGATACAACTGGTAGTCGTGTATATCCATGCATATCACCATGTCCAACGATGTTCATATTGCGCCTCGAAAACTCATATTGATCGCAAAACCCTCACTTGCTCTTTATCTGCGACTCAGAGAAGAGAAGACGGTACTTGGACACTCCCGAGTATCTGCACTCCACAGAGCAAGACGAAGGTGTGTCGGCTATGTTACCCACATATGTTCTGCACTAAATTGTCTCAACTGTATGCTTGTTTTTTATCCTGATGAAATACGCAGCTGTAAACACATTTGACAGCCTATGGCGTGTTTCAGCTGAAAGTTCAAAATACATCCACGCCTACAGCAAGCCTGTGATACACCCACAAACAGCACTTTTCGCACCCCAATCAACCATTCTGTACTTTCAAAACGAACCCCAGCACGAACCCAAAGTCAATCGTATTTCTATTGTTGTGGTCCTCACATGTGCACACAGAGCTATGGGGTGCATTTGAGAGCGCACAATTCACGAATTGGCTGAATTTCTATCTGGCGCCGACAACCGGCATGCCAGTAACACCAAATTCTTCGCCCAAACGCCCCTCAGAGGGTTCGCACACACGTGCTTCTAACGGTAAGCTCGAGGTTTCGAGTGTTTTTGTGCGTATATAGACTTATTTCACATTGAATACCTTGGCTATAATTAAGGTTTTGAGATACACCACACACGCGTCACCGGAAGTGGATACTTAGGTTGTGTATAATTTAGAGTGTATTTCAACTCGCTACAGTTGTAAAACTCGTTGGATGTATGTATGTATCTATATTTTCTTGCTCAACCTTTGTGGTCGTATGTGACAGTAAACCTCGTACGGTATGTCATCACATAGATAAACCACGTATGTTCTGCATCTGGGTTGGGGTTGGATTCCGTGAATTTGTCCAATATCAAATGAGTAATCGATGAAAATACGAGTGTTCCGCACCTATCATCACACGTGCTACTACGCGTATTTTTGTGCGTTCTGTATGCTTGTGCTCATCTTGTATTAAAAACTTGGGCTTTTCATGCCCGTTATGTATTCCCACCCACCCGCTGCTACCGTATCGCTGTAGAATCGGTACACAGGCGCATATCTCAAATAGGAATGTTTGATGGAGATACAGGTACTTCACGTTCGTCAGGGGATTCGTACACACGTGCTGCGACAGTTCTTGCGAGTTCATATGAGTGTGTACGTAGAAACTCGTTATGCCTATTTGGAAGAACAATAGATTAAAGAGTTCTGCTATTTTGTCGACAAATAGCCGTGTATATACCAATGAAACCATACGCGAACCTTAAATATGCAGAGGCACATACGCACGTCTCAAAACGCACAGAACCTCTTTCGTCACCATCTCCACTTCGAGATACTTGCGTGGGTGTTTATATATCAAATACGATAATCACGAACAATCCCTCGCACGCATCATCGCTGTAGGTCGCACTTTGTATATATATCGTAAGTACGGCAAGAATGGCAGACATAAACATCTGCAAACCACCCAATCGCAGGGTACACCTGTGTGTATCTGTAGTACTAACAACAGTATGCTGGCGTGTGTATGCAACCACTACAGTAATAACACACACACTTTCGTAACTATTCCCATGGCACGGCGCATCTATGTGTGTGGGTATACACTACAACAGTACCTGCGTTTACACGTGGTCACTACAACCGTCACACAAGCGCACACTCGCAACCACTCTCACAGCAGAAAATACCCACAAGCACGTGTATAAACCACAACAGTCTCGAATAGTCTCTCGCAACTCTTCCCACTGAAGGCCTTATCTCGCCGCCGTATCGATCGTCGGGCCAAGCAGCACCGTACCGCGCACTCGATCAGATCCACGCGGAATCCAAGCAAGTACGCGCACTGCAGGCAGTCGCCAGAACGGACAACTGGTACAAGCAAGCACGCAGCTGTATCGGCACACTCTTGGCGAATGCTACGATGATGCTCAGGCCCGACACGGCCTCGTGCTTTGATGTGCACGCGCCTGTAGACGCGATGTACACCACGACACACACACACCTGACGGGGGAGATCGTGGATATGCTGTGTAGCGTGTATACGAGTGAGTGGCTGTGCAGAGCGCTGCAGGTGGTGGTTGGGCGGCCGGTGCTGGCGGGGAAGTGTGTGTATAAGGTACGGAATATTGGGAGGGTTAGAATTCTTATGCATGCGCTTGTGGGGGCAAGTGTTGGCATATGGTACTGAATAGCTGCTTTCCTCTGGGTGGAAGATTGTTTCTCTAGATATAAGTGACAATACGTCATGTATTGTATTTTTCTCCTCTATAGCACTATAAAGCTATATCTTAAATCCTCAGCCGTTCCTGAGATTTTACGTTTTCGAGTATTTTCACTCCAATTGGCTAATCGAATTTGTTTCTCTCTTCATTGTCTCCCTCCTAAACAGCAATTCCCTGCAATCCTGAGCCGATATTTGAAATTGTACGTTCAATGCGTTTTTTGCAGACCGCACCAGACGCCATGCAGAGCCCTTGGGAAGCTCCTACGCGTAATCTTTCTGCTGGACAGGGCAGGCGCCAGTGGTAGGCGTGTACGCGGCCAGACCGCCACTGTTTTCAGAAAGGCATGTATGTTCTATTCAAAGTATACTATATATATATATATATATATTAATATATATATATATATATATATATATATATATATAATACATATACATATATATATATATATACATATACATATACATATACTATATACATATATATATA